CTCTCTAATTCAGAACCACAGACTTGTTCCTTATCTAAAGCAGTAATTTGAACTCTTATAGCTTAATATCACTTCTCCCCTTTTAGGGTATGCTTTCTTAGTAGCTCTTTGGAAATGTGGGATATTTATTGTCCTCTATTTCCTCAAATACCTGCATCCATGCTTCTATGTGCAGTGAACACACATACACTCATTCTCCACTATTTCCAGTTCTCGTGGTGGAGACGAATTAGGGCATGCCTATTCACAGGAAGGCCTTTTGAGACATGGGCAAGACTGAATTCATATCCCAGCTTTAGTGGTTTATGCAGTGAGCTCCCTTGAGCCGGTTGCGTAACTTCTGTGAACTCCAGGTGTCTCATCAGTAAACTTCAGGAAATAATACCTGTTTCATGAAGTATTTGTGAGAATTAAACAGGATGGCCATATAAAGCCTTGACTAGCGCCTAGTACATAGTATATTTTCAAAATTATGGTTAGCTTTTACTATTTTTAAACACAGATAGGACCTGCTGTTTCTTTATTCCATTTTCTGGAACAAAGAGTGGTTAGACTTCAAACTCCCTAAAGAGAGAACACTTTGCAAACTGTAGTATGCTATTCGTGTGAACGGGATTATTAGTAATATTGCTGATAACTATCCAATGTCACTAAAAAATGGCTTCCTCAGTGATGTAGACTAAGTTCTTTGGAAGTTCAGTGATGAGGGAGGAGGACAAGGAGAGCCCCTAAGGATAGGAGCACTTCTCAGATTTCTCAAGCCTGGTTGAAGTATGGATTGGTAGAGAGGTAGAGGACATCCAACAGAGGTTATCCAAAGAGGAATGTGTCATATGAGTAGGAACGATGTGAAACAAACATCCGTCATAGCAGGATTCAGGACACTGTGAGTTGGTCTTTCAGCCAAGCCCAGAGAAGCCAGGCAAGGAGGTGGTTCTATTGCATCATCATCATTCATTTATTTATCTATTCATTCAGCAAACATACTGCACTCGTGTTTTGCATCTCACTCTGTTTTGTGTGTTGGGAAACAGTGAACAGCAACAATAAAAAAGACAGAACCCCCTTCCCTCTGGTTCTTACATTCTATCATCGGAGGTAGGGGGAGAGATGATAAACAAATAAACAAATACAAATGTCAGGACATGATAAATGCTGCACATTTATTCAGCCCTGACTGTATGCCAGGCCCACTGCCCTTTAGTCTTTGACAACCACTGTCAGTGGCTTGTGTTACTTAATATCTCTATGTATGAAAACGGGCATTCAGCCACGTTAACAAATTCCTTTAGTCTAGGCTGGTCTGGGGAGGTCCCTAATTTCTTCTGTTCTTGCCTCGGTGAAGGCATACTTGATTTTTTTCAGGTTCTCTGCTAGCAGATCACAGCCATGGTGTCGGTTTAAGAAAGGGTTAGTTTGGATGGGAACTCTGCTACCCAGGTGAGATGGCCCAAAGCAAGCAAATTTTTTCCCCAAGTGTATTTACACTACTATGACGTAGAACCGAAAGAACAAATAAGAATCGAGGAGGGGAAAAATAAAAAAGGAAAAGGGGAAAAGAAGGCCTAAAGGAGAGAAAATGAGTTGTGTTTGTAGGGAGGTTTCTCTTCCTTCTGTAATCTCTCTAGCCAGGAGTTTCACTCAGTTTTCTGAGAAATACTCACGGTAATTTGGGAGTCCCCTGCACAATTGTGTAGACCAAAGACCATTGGCTTTTGAAGCTGGGAGTTGTGAGTCTAAATCCCGGCCCCATTTCTAGTTTAATAGCTACGTAGCTTTGAGCAAGTGAGATCACTTTTCTGTGGCTCAGTTTCCTCATTTGCAAACTGTGGGTTAAAATCAAGTTCTGGGCCTGGCGCAGTGGCTCACGCCTGTAATCCCAGCACTTTGGGAGTCCGAGGTGGGAGGATCACAAGGTCAACAGATCGAGACTATCCTGGCCAACATGGTGAAAACCCGTCTCTACTAAAAATACCAAAAATTAGCCAGGTGTTGTGGCGCGCATCTGTAGTCCCAGCTACTTGGGAGGCTGAGGCAGGAGAATCGCTTAAACCCAGGAGACAGAGATTGCAGTGAGCCAAGATCCTGCCACTGCACTCCAGCCTAGGTGACAGAGCAAAACTCCATCTCAAAAGAAAGAAAAAAAAAATCAAGTTCCTGCCTTGTACTATTTCAGTGGTGACAATAGATATTGGAACTTGAGGGAAACTCTAACATAGTTAGTTGTGTCAGTCTTAGATTTCACTGCAGGTTATCAAAAATCTCAGCTAACACTGGCTTAAGCAAGGTTTGCATCTTCTTTCTCATTGTGTTTAAGTTGTCTGGAGGCCATCAGTGTAGGGATGGCAGTATTGGGGATTTGGGATTTCTTTGTCTTTCACCCCAGCCTACTTGATTGACATTCCCAAGATCATCTCATGACCTATGATGATTGTCAGAGCTTCAGCTATTTTGTCCACATTCCAGCTGGCAGGAAAGAAGTGTTAAGGTGGGACATACCACTTTCTTTAAAGAACATATCTTGGAAATTTCACACTTCAGATCCTTTTAGATCCTGTTGACACAACTTAGTTACAGGGATACCCTTAGCTGCCACCTAGGTCGAAGAGACCCTGGAACAGATAGATTTTACTCAAGGAAGCCATGTTTTTTGGAACGTTCTGGAATTCTGTTACTATGGTCACAGTGAACAATGTCTATCACATGGGTGGTTCTCAAACTTAGTTGAGTGTTTGAATTACATATCAAAAATGCATATTCATGGGACCTACCCCAGACCTACTGACTGAGAATCTCTGGGAGTAGCACCTGAGAATATGGGTATTTAACAAAATAATATATCCAGATGATTCTAAGATAGGAGAGATTGTTTGGAAACCATTGCTTTAGGCTGGGCACAGTGGCTCATGCCTATAATCCCAGCACTTTGGCAGGCTGAGGCGGGTGGATCACCTGAGGGCAGGAGTTGGAGACCAGCCTGGACAACATGGTGAAACCCTGTCTCTACTAAAAATACAGAAAAAATAGCCGGGCATGGTGGAGGGTACCTGAAATCCTAGCTACTTGGGAGGCTGAGGAAGGAGAATAGTTTGAACCTGGAAGGCGGAGGTTGCAGTGAGCTGAGGTCATGCCATTGCACTCCAGCCTGGGCAACAGAGTGAGACTCCGTCTGAAAAAACAAAACAAAACAAAAAAAGGAAACTACTGCTTTAAGGAGCAGCACATAGGATTGATGAATTTTCTTTATCCCTGTGTTCCTTGAAAAATAAA